CTATTGATTGCCGAACATCACTATTGTAGCGGGTCACCCTTTTTTGTATCAGTGACAGTTGCACTTGTCATTTTACTGACTGGAATTAATAATCGTACTTATAATGTTTTGGTTCTATTCAAAATAATTTGTAACTGAGGACAGGCTTCATGTTTTAAATTTATTATTCAATATATGATTAAATTATTGTACTCCCTCCTGTTAATACAGGCTGTTTTCTTCATCCGAATCTCGGGATTTGTTATTATAGCTCTGGATGATGTAATGGATATACCATAATACAACACCCAATTACACAATTAGGTGTTGTATTGTTCCTGTACAGATTTCTAGAAAATGGACTCGACACTAGTTTGGTTCTTCGGCTCCCGACCATTTAAATGCAATGCCAAATATAATGCAAAAACTAAATTCTTAAATAATTATTAGGAATAATTTCACTTCATATTCAGCTGAATCCGCATGATTTAGTGCTATAAATGAATAATAATGGTTCTGGTACGACTTGGGCGGGATAGTAGTAGTTCCTTCGGAATATTGCAACTATGTCGGCCGATAGTCGCCGATAGCCGATAGTAGTGTGGTTCTGGGGAAGATTTCCAGGGGCAAAGCTCATTGCCACCACACGCGTCGCAGGTTGCGGATAGCGAACGGCCTTCAGATATGGAGGTTAGCTGCGAATAACAAATAAGCAGTCGCGGACAATGCAGCGGTCTGTCGGAGAGGTGCTGGGGAGCCCATGGCGGGATATACCTTGATAAATAAATACTAAAACTTGAAAAATAAAACTCCATGATGTCGGATGGCAGTGGCGAATTAGGGCCGCCACTATAAACAAAGCTCTTATGCCCGGGGAGTTGGACCTCGTCAACCTTGGTTGGTAGTTCAAATAGGAGAAGGAAAACTCCGATTTTAAACCAAATAAGCCCTCCTGGAAGAATACTGTGAGGTGAGGCTACCGGGGAAGATCAAGAAAAGAATAATAACCCGAGATAGCAGGTATAATAACTTGCATCCTACTATTCCCAAGGAGGGTTGACATCAGGCAGGCGGCCGGTCAAAAAAAAAAAACTGAAGCCAAAATCATTCTCTCGTAATATGAATTTGAGTGAAAGAATTGATGATCGGACTAGGGCGTACCCCCGAGGCGACGCGCAGGAGCAGCACCCGGCCACAGCGAGAAATGGAAAAGGGTTGTTGCACCACAACGGGCGGGTGCAACGTAAGAAGCAAGTCCAAAAAATAATAGAAGTATGTATGAGGTGTGTTAGTTGGAATGTAGGTTCAATGACTGGAAGAGGAAGAGAGCTAGCGGAGGTATTAAAGAGGCGAAGAATAAATGTGGCGTGTGTACAGGAGACTAAATGGAAAGGAGCGAAAACTAAAGAGATTGGGGAAGGATATAAGTTTTACTACATAGGAAATGATGGAAAACGGAATGGGGTTGGAATAGTGCTAGATAATGAACTGAAAAATTGTGTGACAGATATAAAAAGGATAAGTGATAGAATAATAGCTGTGAAAGTGATAGTCGAGAGCATGATTCTGAATGTCATTAGTGTGTATGCTCCTCAGACAGGAAGTGATGACGATGTAAAAGCAAAGTTTTGGGAAGATTTTGATGGCTTGATGATAAGTAACCCAGAAAGTGAAGAGCTATATGTTGGGGGTGATTTTAATGGACATGTAGGCGTGCAAAATGTAAACTATGATAGGGTTCATGGGGGAGGGCAATTGGCAACCGAAACGAGGACAGCGAAACTTTATTGGAAACTGCTTCCGCATTTGACCTAGCTATAATAAACACTTGGTTTAAGAAGAAAGAGGAACACCTTATCACCTATAAAAGTGGCCAGTATGCGACACAAATAGACTTTTTCCTGACGAGAAGAAACAAGTTATGGACTGTGAAAGACTGTAAAGTGCTGCCGGGGGAAGATCTAGTTACACAACACAGACTATTACTAATAGAAATAAAAATTAAAGTACAGATAAATAAAAATAGGAAATGCCCCCCACCTAGAACTAAATGGCGAATGATAGAAAAAAACGAGTATGCAAGCAGATTCAAGAAAGAAGTTGTAGATAAAATGATTAGTATGAAAGACATGAAAGGAAAAACAGTAAATGAATGTTGGGATGAAATAGCACATTGTATAAGAATGGTAGCAAAGCAGGTCTTTGGAGAAAGTAAGGGAAAGTGTATAATAGATAAGGATACATGGTGGTGGAGTGAAGAAGTACAAAAAATATTAAAAGAAAAGAATAATGCTTTCAAAGATTGGCAAAAGGTACCTACAGAGAATGAACGGCTGAAAGAAGAGAAAATGATAATGTATAAAAAATTTAAAAAGGAAGCAAAAAAAGTAGTTGCAATAGCCAGAACAAGAGCCCTAGATAAAATATATAGGTCACTTGATGACCCTAGTGGCCAAAAAGAACTATACCGGATAACCAAAATGAGAGAAGAAAGAGCGAAAGATATGAAGCATGTAAAATGTATAAAAGATGATACAGGACAAATTTTGTTGAAAGATGATGACATAAAAGCACGTTGGAAGGGATATTTCAATAAACTTATGAATGAAGAAAATGTGTGGGATGATGCTCTAAAAGATGTCTCAGTAAACATTGGTGTAGTGAATGAGATTAGTATGGATGAAGTAAGAAAAGCAGTGAAAAGTATGAAGAATGGGAAAGCAGTCGGGCCAGATGGTATACCAGTAGAAGTATGGAAATTATTAGGAGATGATGGCTGCAGGTGGCTGGCTTTATTCTTTAATAAATTATTGCAAGAAGTGGCGATCCCTGAGGAATGGTGCAATAGCTCACTAGTGCCCATTTTTAAGAATAAGGGTGATGTACAGGATTGCAATAATTATCGGGGAATAAAGCTAATGTCGCACAGTATGAAAGTATGGGAGAAAGTGATAGAGAAGCGATTGCGTGAAGAGACGGATATCACCCAAAACCAGTTTGGATTTATGCCAGGCCGAAGTACCACAGATGCCATATTTTCACTGCGTCACTGCGTTCACAAGAACTTGCACATGGTGTTTGTCGACCTGGAAAAGGCGTACGATAAAGTACCCCAACCGGTTTTGTGGTGGGCCTTGAAAGATAGAGGGTGCCAGTGAAGTATGTGGAGTTAATTTTGTGCTATGTACAGTCAACCTATGTGCGGTCGGCCGCTGGAAACACCAGCGAGTTCAGTGTGGCTGTAGGCTTGCATCAGGGATCGGCTTTAAGCCCGTACCTCTTTTTGTTGATAATGGATGCCTTGACGTCGGAGATACAAGAAGAGGCACCCTGGTGCATGCTATTTGCAGATGACATTGTGCTCGTTGGTGAGGAAGGGGCTGTGATACAGAGTAGATTGGCGATGTGGCAGCAAAAGCTGGAAAGCGGGGGCTTAAAAATTAGTGTTTCCAAAACGGAATACATGTTTTGTGATTTTGGCGGTCTTTCCGGCTCTGCAGCCATATCACTAAATGGAGCTCCATTACCGATTTGCTCCGATTTCCGGTATCTAGGTTCTCTCCTCCAAAGCAATGGTGAATTAGACAGGGCCATAAAGCATAGAATTAACGCAGGATGGATGAAGTGGCGGCAGGTTACGGCAACGACGTGTGACTCGCGTGTTCCTCTTAAGCTTAAGGGGAAAATTTACAAGACCATGATCCGGCCTGCTGTCTTGTATGGATCAGAGTGCTGGCCCGTAAAGGCGACGGATGAAAGACGACTGCATGCAACTGAAATGAGAATGTTGAGGTGGATGTGTGGTGTGACAAGAATGGATAAGATAAAGAATGAATACATTAGAGGAAGTATGAAAGTGGCACCGGTATCAGAGAGGTTGAAGAGTAATCGTCTATCATGGTATGGACATGTAATGCGTAGGAACGAGGATAATATTTTAAGAAAGATGTTACAAATGAATGTGGATGTTTATATGGGCAGAGGAAGGCCGAAAAAGAGATGGATGGACTGTGTGAAAGATGATATGGTAAGAAAGGAAGTAAATAACGCGATGACTGCGAACAGGGATGAATGGAAGCGTAAAACATATTACGCCGACCCCAAGTAAATGGGATAAGGAAGAAGCAGATGATGATGTCGGCCGATAGTTCGGCGAAGGGGGGCGGCGCAGGCTGGGACAATGAGCCCAGGTGGGGCCCATTCCGGCCGTTAAGCGTCGCGTCGGTGGCCCGCTCCTGCTATGACTCTACTCTTGTAGAGACACGTGCGGAGCGGGCGCGGCTCTGTGTGAGCGGCAGTCTCAGGGGTTCAAGTCTGCCGCTCACACAATAGGAGCCGATATGGGGGGGAGGCACATCCCGTATTCAGGTGCGTCTTCCCCACGGTGGGCGGAGGTGGGGCAACTGGGAAGAGTTGCGTTGAAAAGGGCCCCACGCGTTGAAAAGGGCCCGCTTGCGGGCAACCGCCGCTGGGGTTGCGGTTGATTGCCAGCTCGATCCCGTGACCCTGGCACTATGGCGGCGAGGAGAAAATCGTGGGGTTTTTAGTGAATAGGAGTCTCACAGTCCAACCCCTGCGACGGCCGGGTCGCCATGAAAGATTTTCCCCACGTAAAAAAAAGGTAGCTTTTTCTTATTAAATCATGTTCAATCCCTAAAAATCTTTGCAACCTACTGCTATAAATATACCTATATAATTTTATTGAATATCGATAGAAAACACTATAAGTATAACTTGGTCGTACAAAAAAATATAACAAAATGTAAACAAAGCCTAATTTTATACTTCTTTACTTTATATTGTTTTATTTAATTCTGCTACAATTAGCATGTGCGAGATCACAAATATTCATTGTGTTACACCCATAGAGTAGTCACCCATATTGCTAACACTTAATTCAATAAAATTTATACTTCTTTATATTTCCATAATAACTGGTTGTTAAATACTCTAAGCACTGAAAGAAATATTCTCATTGTCAACCCACTTATCATCTGTTGTCAAAATGTGAGAATATTAATGTTTTGTTAACATGACTATTAGTTGTATAATTTTCGTAATACTATTTTTTATAGATTTAGTTACTGGTATACAATCAATTAATTTTACTGAATATGATTCGGATTCCATATGTCCCGTTTCATGTAAGTGATTGTATATGATCATTGTGTTTTACATTTTTAATAATTGTGCGTGGACAATGATTTCCTATTCCCACAAGTATAATTTATCAAAGAGGACATTATATGGTAAATGCAGAATTTGTTGAAAGTGTCACCTCTGTACAAGCCTACATTTCAATGTTTTGAATTAGAATTTTGTTTTGATTTTGGAAACGACTGAAGAAAGTAGTGTTAATTTACATACATTCTCTGTCACCACATAGACTAAGTGAACACTTAGAGAGTAGAAATTCGTTATTATATAGTAAATGTAATATATTATATCAGATGTTCGTAAATATGTAGTATACGCTGTTGTTACTGATTAATTTTTTGTTCCAGTTTTTCGTCGAAAAAGGACTCCCATGGATTATACACGTTGGCGAGCAAATGAAGAAAATACACAAGAATTTCTTGTGAAAGTTTTAGACGACGATCTAACTACATCGAATACAAAACAAATTATAGCAATTAACATTCAACCAGTAACGAAGAGTGTAGAAAAAATAATAATTGGCGGGGCCATGTTGCCACCACCAACTACATCATTACCAATAGTAGTTGAAACATCTCGAGACTATACTAGATTTGTCCCACCGACGACATTGCCCGTGTCGCGCGTAGACGGAGAAGTATTTCTAGCACCAGCTCCAATCATCGGTCATCCAATATTGCCAAAAAGTACGTAGCATGATATAAATCACTCTCTGAATGACCCATTATATATTTTTTTAGCTATGATTGGCCCATCGTGACATATGTACAACGCATTGAACACGATCGTTTCCAGGAGTAACGGCGTGGAGGACAACCTAACTTGGTACATTACTAGGGATGGGGTAGTTAGTTCACGTTACTAACAATTCCCCCCGATCCATAATATTGGATAGATCTTGTATCAACCAAGGGTGTAGTCAAGACGTCACACGATCAGCTTATACTTCGGGACTGGCTATAAAATATAATAAAATTAATGAAATTAGAGGTCTACTATTATATAGGTATACTATTATATTACAGTGGCCTTTGGTAGGCTCTTCTTTCTGCCTACCCTGTAAGAAATATGACGAAGTTACATACTATTTTTTATTCGAAATTTGATGTATATGTATTTTAGTGAAGCCTAACCCAGGTCGGCATTCACTTCGTGACGAGAGTCCTCCGGCCAGCCCTCAATTTTTAACTCGCACTGAGACACTTGTTGCTCGACAATATGCTCCCATAGCACCAGTTGCTTTTACACGACGAGTTACAGTTATGCCTGTAACTCCTCCTCTAGTCGATGGATATGTAAGTACTTATTTTGTTATATAGCCTAATTAGTGTTCCTCTGTTGATCAAAGATCTTCCACTCAGGCCTCAACCAATCTCTATATTGATCCTGATTAGGCAATGCCTTACCAGTTAAGTGGTCAAAATTGACGACTCACCTTCGCCTTAACCTACACCGATGTCGGTACCCATCACTTGGTGTCCGACATGTGACAAGTTGACCTACCTCTGAGAGAGTATCCTGGTTTAATGACCGGTCCAATCCCACTTCTCATAGTTTAGCCTTCTCCTGAAAGCAGATTTGAACCATAATCTACAATAAGTAGTTTAGTACATAAAACAATTTGAAATATTTACTTAGTCAATGTTCATACGATGTTGTACATTTTCAACAGAATCTTCATAATACAGCCTTTATACCAACACGGACATCACATCTCTCAGACATGACATTACTGACTAGAAGCAAACATCCTGAAGAATTTAGCAGATTTCGTAAAGAAGAGATTAACTCAAAAACTGACCTCGCTTTTTTAACTCGAAGTTCGTTTGTGCAAGAATATGCCCCTCATCGAACATCTATCGATGTAGCAATCGCAGAAGATATTGAGACGCCTACAAAAATAAATACATATTTTGAAGACATGAAGAGAAACGAAATAAATAACAACATAAAACTTCAGTCACAAGAAAAATATTACGATGCATCTTACAATATGATGTTTTACAATGAAGATGACACAGAAAGTAGTATTAAAAAATTTTATCTAGATTCTGGAAATAACTATGATGAGAAAAATTTAGGAGATTCTATATCTGAAAAAGAACGTATGTCAACAGGATTAGGCGTGATCGAGAGTGTACTTGACTCTAAAAACCTCACAGAAGGTGAGACTGAAATCTATCCATATATTTATGAAGAAGTACAAATGGACAACTCAACAATTATTAATAAAAATATGCTATCTGTCATGACACCTGTAGAATCTATTACAGTAAAAACATTAAAAGATAAATTAAGGGATAAGCGTCGACCTACTTGCAATATGATTAAATTACGACCGCTAAATTTTAATTCACCTCGAACGTTACCCGAGGTAACTATAGTAATATTTATTTCTCTATAAAGACTTTAATAATAATGATAAAATCGTATAATATGTCTACACATTAAACTTTCCGTATTGTTTAGAACCTACACGTCTTAAACGAATTTAATCTTCTATTCAGAATAATATAATATTCTTTTTAGAATATCAATTTCCTTTTTCTCTCTTAATTCAAGTTATAATAAATTTCTAGACGAATAATTATGTGACTATAATAATATAAGTGTTCCATATACTAAGATGTAATTTAATACACTACATAATAATTTGAGATAGCTCGTAATATGGATCATGACACCAAACCTAATAATCCGAAATCCCATTAAGGGTTAAAAGGTTTCTGTAATTATTGTAAACAATGCGATATATTGATCTAAATTTAGATTATTCATTTTGTTTACGAGAATTGTTATTTTGACAACAATATTTGATATCAAGATTTCGATAATGCTAAATTTGTTACTGATACCTATAAGTACCTATATCTATTTAACAATATTTAACAATGTAGAGGATATGGTATACGACAAGAAAAGATCTTATGTAGTCTATATGATTATGGTACGAGTAATAATAATGTAATAGTATTGTACATATAAATTTATTTATACAGCTTAAGCAAGTTGTTTGCCAGAAATATTAATAAAACTAGATGCAGTGCAGATGGCGCTCCTAACCCGCAGGACTTACGCAGGTGTTGAAAGCCAACTTCCGCTTGACAGTTCTGCGCCAGAAATAGGCGAGACAGGCAGTTTTATACAAAACTATCTCTGTATTATATTGGTACACAATGTATAAAGTCGCCTATGTGTGTACCCCTGGCCCACCTAAACCTAATCATGGATCTGAGCAGTTATAAATATGTGATTACAATTAGATTTATCGATGTAAATATCCGATATAATTGACATGATTATATTCTTATATAGATAGTATCACAGTTAAAACAGTGGGCTGAAAATAGTCCGGTAGCTAAATGGGTTGATATTACTGATGGAAATTTTACCGCCATGGAAAATCCTATATATATGATGATGGTCGACGATCCTAGTAGTGGCCAGATTGTTTCTGCTAAACAAACTGTAATGATAGTAGCAGGTATTGTTAGTTTCAATTATTTATTTTCGCTATTATAATTACTTTGTTATTAGTATTTGAAATCCTCAAATTAAAATTTCATTTTTGTGATTACTATAATAGTGATAGATGACCTATGTCACTCGCCTCTACACCCAGTCACTCGCATTATAAAAAAGTTAAAAATAAGTTAGTATATTTTATTAGAATATTGCGTAGTCAATACACCCGAACCCGTCATGCACACTTACTAATATCATAAATGTGAAAATAGGGATGTTTGTTACGCTTTCACACAAAAACTACTGAACCGATCAGCATGAAATTTTGTACACATATTCTTGAAGGTATTAGATACGACATACGACAACGAGGACATACGATACATTTATTATTTAAAAACAAACATTTTTTATAAAAAAAAATTAACGACAATTTGCTACTTCAGCGCCATCTTGCAGCGAGTGTGTGTGAGTTTGTTTGTTTGGTACCTTTTTATTACAAAACGGACGGACATAGGCTATCTTTTATCCTAAAAAATAATATGGACAGGTAACACAGGGAACGTTTGTGTAAACGAAATAATGTGTATCAACTCGTAAACAACAAAATGCTAATATCTGACTGTTTGTTACCATTTTATAACTAGTACCGTCGTATACTAATTTATTTATAAAAAGCAGACGCAGTCACAGGAAATAGTTAATATTCGATTTATTTAAATAAATATCTGTATTATATTAAGTTATTTTATGTTATAGGTATCCAGGGCCGGGACCACCATGCCGTAGCGGCTGCTATGTACGCGCTGTACCAACTCATAGAGCGCAGTGAATCTCATACCGATTTGCTTACAATGTATCGGTTTTGGGTTATACCGGTTTTTAACCCAGATGGTTATGACTATTCTATTACTTTTCCACAAGTATGTACTCTGATACGGATACTTTTCTGTACATAATACCGCATTCAGGCCACGAAAAAACGATTTCAATCACATGTATTAAAAATCCACTGACCAACTTGATCAATCAGTATTATGAAAGCAGACAGTACACACAAACAAAAAACAATTCAAAATCGGTTGACATAGATAAAAAATCTTATTTTTGTGTGTGTTACACACACACAAAAATTGCAGCCAAATTTGGAACTATCCTTCTTTTTTGAAGTCGGTTGAGGAATTATTAACCAAATCTAACTACAAATAATAGAATAGATAAGAAATTACTAGAATTCTTTTTTAAAAAAAACTACATCAAGATATTGTTGTAACCAGCTAACAGCACAAGTTAACGGTACAAGATTAAGTAATGATTTAATATTTTAATATACATCTCTCTAATCATCTGTATAAATTGCTATCTATTGGTCATGGCTTCGTCTGCTCTTCGGAGATAAAATAGGCTATATACTCTATAGATTCTATCTGCATGCCACATTTTATTGAGATCTGTGCATCCGTTTAGACATGAAAAGATAACAGACAGTCAGACAGACACATTTTCGTATTAATAAAATTATTAGGTATTTTCATTGATAAATTAAAAATCCACACTAATCAATTTTTTGTTGGAATTAGATTGTTTATTTAAATAAAATCTGCAAAATTACCTTTTCCTGTAAATTCAATTATTGATTTATTTGTGTCATGTTTGCTATCTTCGCTATTAGGTAGATTTGTTTAGTATGTTTTGTAAATATACTTCAGAGGCGTGAGTGGTCGAAGAATTTACGTCAATCTTGGGAGACATGCACGGGCCGCGAGTCCTGTAGGGCTTGTGAATCTTACGGACTAAGATGCACTACGCAGCCATGTTACGGGGTTAACCTCGACAGGAATTTTGAGTACCAATGGATACCTAGTAAGTTGCTACTATAACCTTTTTTGTTCTGTAAGCTAATGTTTTGAAGCGACAGTAGCAAGATTTCATATACGACAGACAAAGTCGACATTACCTGCGAATGCGTTTACGGTTTTTATATGAAAGATAGCCTATGTACAATTACTAGTGGTTACCCCGTGGTCGAAATTCGACCATAATTAATTTAACAATCAGTAAGAATATTGTAATTTTTTATATATAACGTTAGTAAAGTATTAGTTAGCATGTTGCACTACTCTACATTAACTATAAGTGTGCGATATTTCGTTACTCCTTAGTTACTCCTCCGTCCGTATAATTTTCGTAAAACGTATTAGACTGATAAAGTAATTTTAAAAAATGAGGTACTCTCCAACGGACAAGCAGTTTGTTGATAAGTGTACATGTTCAAAAACTATGTAACTTTTGTTAAATAAACAAATAAAATTTATTATTAATGAAATATCTATATCGGAGGCATTGTCAACTGCTTTCTAAGCTGTTTAGCACACCGATTTACTTCCGATGGTCGCGAATTCGATTCCTAGCACAGTACAATCTTTGTATTAATGAGTATGATTGTTTGTATTGGTCTGGATGTTTTATTAGTATATTATATGTGTATTTACAAAAAATAATTATTTGCAATTAATTTATAAGTAAGTATTTATATCCGTTGTGTAGTACCCAAGCACAGCTTCTGCTTACCGTGGGACTAGATGGCGCTGTGTTTATTGTCCAGGGTTATTTATCTTTACATAGTATAAAACAAAGTCGCTGTCGCTGTCTTTCCCTATGTATGCTTAAATCTCTAAAACTACGCAACCAATTTTGAAGCGGTTTTAATAGATAGTGATTCAAGAGTGTGTATAACACATGTACACACGTGCGAAGCCGGGGTGGTTGGCTAGATTATTATATTTCGTTGAGTACCGTCGTCTCCCTGATGAATTGAAGTTGTTATCAATGATTGCATTATTTCGGCACAATGGAAACTGTACATACTTAATCAGTATATTTGATTATAAAAATTACCTAGAGTACGTCATTATAGTGAGTCATTTATGCATATTTTGCGACGCAATTTTATTATAATTATAATAATATAAGTACCTATTTATCGAGAAATATAGGTTAATAAATATTTACTGATTATATCTCTAAAAAAGAAAAGCATTAAAGATGTCTTGAACGCAACAATGTATATGATTAGTATCTATACATACAAATAAATAAAATTTGACTGTCTGTTTTAAATATCTGTTTGTATTTTCAAATTACCAGCTTTGCACTAAATGCATGTAAAATGCTTAACGAAAAATATTTTGACTATTAATTTCTGAAAAAAATATATTCGCAATTCGAAATATTTATCATATAGGTAACCTTGGTCTGTGAATCTACATTAACATCCCTAAGTAAGTCACAATTTTGAAACGGAATAATTCGCTTTACTGCATTCTTAATATAATATATTTGTCTGTTCGACTATTAATAATTTTTAGTTGATATCGCATTTCTATCAAGTTTAATGATTTTTTACACAATTAATTATGTGTGTGTAAGCGATAGTGATGTGCAAATTACTTGAGTAATTAAAAGATTTAACCGTTGTCATTATCAAATAACAGCTAAGGGTATATTTCTCTTAGGAACCATCTTAGCTATTATGTGCACCACGACGTTGAGAATATTGAAAATATCTCTTCTATATCTCTTGGTATTTCAAATATAGAATATTGGCACAAACAATAGGTTGCTTTGACAATGTGGCATCAAGAGATATCAAACGTAACTACAAATTACCTTTGTGTTTATTACTCAATTAAAGATACTACCCCATATGGATTACAGCCGTGAAGGTATATTATTCTTATTCCATATGTATTTATTAATTTTTATTCAATAAGCTAATACTTGCTAGAGTTTATCTGCTGTTGGCCCCTTACGTCAGGTAATTTCTTATCTGAAATATTAATTATTTTTAAAAATATACCTAATCAAACTGAGCAATATATAAATAAAGGTCATAAAAATATTACAACTATAGCATTTATTATATTGATTAAATATCCTTATATTCACAAACGTTTAATGTCCATATCTATGTTTATACTAAATCGGAAATGTTAGCAAAAATATAAGCCAACTATCAGCAGAGCTTTGTGTAGTGGATTTAGAGGTATTTAACAGCCGATTACGGATAGACAGTTTGTCTTTACTTGACGCATACCTAGTCAGCCATCAGTATTAAGACTAATACTGATGGCTGACTAAGTATGCGTATGTGTATGCGTATATATAAGATTAGATTATGGTAGAAAGATAAAATAATAAATATATTATATAGCTGCATTAGACTGCAACTAGGATATATAATATTTTTTACAGACTGTGAAAGGATAACTGCTAATATTAACATTATTTTTGTCCATAATATTACGTAATATTCCCTCAGAAACAATCCTGCCTGTTCGTTAAGATATTAATATGTAGGTAATATTATGTTATCTGTGATATTACTCAACCGAGGATAAATAGATGTTGTAGTTATCGTTCAGAAATAAACAGTGTTTTTTTTAAATATACGAACAACATACATCATTGAATAGTACAGTGTATTTACATGAATTTTGTAACCAAATATATGACGATAAATTTTGTCATTATGAATATTTTTAATATCTAAATAAATAGTGGATATTTACATAATGTTAACTATTATTATATATATGTTATACTTATAATTCAGCTGAGGAACTTCGAGCAGAGCATCCTTGCGGGGCACTGTATGCCGGCGCACGTCAGCTGAGTGAAGCTGAAACACGTGCACTGACGCATTTCCTTCACACGCAACGAACGCCACTTTACACTTTCCTAGCATTCAAAGAAGGCGAAGTTCTTGTTAGTTAGCATTCTATTTAAGACATTTATGAAACTAGATTTAGACTAGAAAATAAAAAGCACAGAGGAAGAAGTAAATTCAATCGAACACCAACAAACACTCTAACAAGCTTTGTAGGAATAGATGAATGTTTGATATTTTATTCCAAAGCTATCTTATAGTTATCGTAGTATTATTAATAACTCTATTTTTAAAGTATGGAAGGCTTACAGTATGATTTTTGAGAGTAAAATATTTTTTATTAGAAATATAGTCTTCATATAAAAATATGAAGTTGGTGCTACATTTATTGGCGGTATTACATACCGCTGCATTTATTCACGGGTTTCATTCTTGCTCAATATTTACAAATGTTAGTATTTATGAATGTGACTTTATTTTGTAGTTACTGATTTGAATAATTTTACATATATATACATTATGTAATAAAAATATTTAACTGTGTCTTTTAACGTTGTCTAGTACTCGTAGTACAAAATCTGTTTAGTTTGGAACTGGATAACACTGACTGATATTTTTTATAAACCTATTATATCTATGATTAATTACTAAAGCTAATCTAAATAACTATGGAGTCGTTCGTAATAATATCACATTATTGCATAGTTCTCTAATCTGATATTCAAGGGTTAAGAATGTTATTTTAAAATTATCTATTGTTTTGCCAGATAAAAAAATATTATCGTGTCAGTAGCGTGGATTAATCTCTTGAGTTATGTGTTTAACACACTTTAATTAACTGCAGGCGGGGCTCACTTTGTAATCAACCTATTACCTCTGTGTACTTGCTCAAAAAGATCGTATCTACATATTTCTATGAAATGTTTAGTTGACGTATGCCAATTTTCATAGTTAATCCATTTTAATTTGTTTCGTTCGATTATACTTTACTTGATAGTAATAATTATTTTTTTTATCATAAACAGGGTGTAATGTATCCATACTCACACACAAGAAAAAAACGTGCTTTCGATCACGTTTATGTAAGTATTTATTGATGTTGTATAAAATATCTAGAAATTAGTCTGCTGCCTATTATTAAAGTAAAATAATGATGAATTAGTTGTTATTTGTTAAAAAGCACCCACACCGATACAAACAATTATACTCATGAAGAAATATTTGTACTGTGCGAGGAATCGAGCCCGCAACTATCGGATAGTAAAGCGATATGCTAAACCACTAAACCACCGAGGCTGTTGTATAATAATAGGAAAAACGTCTTTAATGCAACTAACTGAGTATTGAATTAAAATAAGTATAAGTACTGAATTAATTTCAGGGGCATTGGTTCTAAAAAAGGAATGTCTATATTTTACAGGATGTAACATATAATACATAACAATATATATTAACCAATTATATTAGATAAACGAAGTAGTTTTATAGTTAATATGTTTTCTTATCAGTTTTAATAAAACTCATTTATATTGTAAGCATATCATAGAATATAAGATAGTTTCTATACTTAAATTATCTTATCATTTATTTCATGTTTATAGGCATATAGGATACACTTTGTTGTCTGTGCGTCTAATATGTATGCATATGATTTTTGATTTTACACGCCGGAAACGGCAGGGCATGTTTGAAACTATTATAATCTTAAGACCATTATGTACACATGTTCCAGTAAATAAATTAAATTGAATTGAATTGAATTGAATATGTCTAAAAATGTACATTTACTTCCCAGACTTTGTATTAAATCCTTCGTGTTTTGTTTTAATTCTAATGCTTAAGAATTATTCTGCAAGCCGGTGTTCGACAATGACGGGAATTGTAATAGTATTTCCTTTTTCGTTGTCTATGTGATAGAGACAGCGAGCATCTCGTGCAGCTGCCGCTGCATACAGCATTAGTGGTCGACCGTATGTAGCTGGGCAAACATCAGAATTTTTACGTGAGATATAGTAGTACAGTATATAGTAGCTTTACTTTAAATTAAAAATTTAATTGCTTCACATATCATTTGAATGTCTAAACCACACTAAATTGTCACACACTATTATATATACCTTAAAAGCACATATCTAATAGTATCTTACCCCAATCAATCTTTGATAATAAATCTGCTAAGTTATGCCTGATTCTTATATATTCTGAGCTGATACATTGCCAGCCTGTATATTATTGACTTCGAAGACTCATTTCGTATTTTTTTCAAAGGAAAGTTGGTTTTTCTGTTAAATGAGAATCGGATATATACAATTTAGGATAATAAATCCTCTAGATTAGAGGTGACAAACTCAATTTTGCAGAGTGCCATATATTAATTTAGAATTTAATAGGGCCATATTCAAATAAAAAATGTACTGATTTATTATAACATTTTATTTATTTAATTACATAGTATATAATATACGGTTTTTAAATATATATGCGATGCCGGATGAGGCCCGCATGCTGTATCTTTGTCATGACTGCTCTAGCTAATTTAATTAACTACATATTTTTATATATAAAATAATAGCTAGGTAGGCTTGCTATAAATGATTAATTAGAATGCTTAAATGTTTTAGTAGTATCAGTAGTTTTGTATTAGGTATATCAAAGAGTAAAAAATGTATTAATTAAAAGGGTATTCGTATAATTTCAGCGTTATATGCTGGTGGTATAGAAGACTGGGTAGATGGACATTTAGGTATTGACAACACATACACAATCAGGATGTTTCGACCAATAGATTCATATAATTCAAAACTTATTACAGAGGTCAGTATGTAACTGGTTTTGCTCATTCTTTTATACATAAATAAATTTGGAATTTGAAGTTTACTTTTTACTTTCTATAAAATATATCATTTACTGCCGTGTATTTTGATATGGGGGAGTGGGTAATTGTGCACCAATATTAAAAATTATAGTTGAGAAAATATAAATGACAAATAGCACGACTCCTTTTCTTCTCAACCTTCTAAGGTTAAGATTATAGTTAGTCATCCCGTACACTGCCAACATTGATATATATATATATATATATATATATATATATATATAGAACGCACTGTGACAGATGACTGACATTTGTAATTCTATTATCTACCTGCGCTTGACTTAACTTGATAATATATATTATATTCCAAGAAAAACTTACCCTGCTAATATGAATAAGAAGACAAATTGATATATAGACTATTAGAAATGAATAAATATATTCTTAATATTACACTTATCATATTATGAAAATAATGCCATCACCACAAATATTTCATAAAGATAAAATATCTTCATAGAGTAGTATTTGGCTGTTTAATTTATGAGATAATTTAAGACTACTATACCGAGGACTACAAATAATTCCACGTAAATAATTTTAATGAATACTATTTTTTAGGTATAAACTTTTATTTAACAAACCTGAGTTAAATTTTGCAATTGAATTTTAATATATCTATAATTGGGAGCATCGTGAACTTTACTACCCGAACATAGAGCGAAAAGATGTTGATTGGGAGTTCGAATCTAATTTAAGCCCAACATTAAAGATTTTTGTATGTAATAGTTTATACTTCTGACTGATGATTGTGCATAAAAGATTAACCACTTCCATGTTTGCTTTAATTATATCCATCAATTTTCAATAATAAACCTAATACGGTAGACCGCGAAAGAATTTTTAATTACTTACTAATTATTATTTATGTTCTTTCGAAATATTGGCATCAAACGATTACTAAATAAAATAAAAAATTGACGGCACTCTAAATCCAGTAAGGCGCTATTCATAGCATGCTGCTATAAATGTTATGTACTATATTTATATTTTCAGCGTGTTGTTCACGAGGCTTACGCTGCAATGGATACGCTGCTCCTCCAGAGTGTAGAGTCATTCAGTCCACCTATGGTCACAATGAAGAGGTCAGCCTCTAGTGCAGCAGCAGTTCCGTCTTTCATGCTTCTACTGTTCATCATAATAATCGAATATGTTTTAACACTTTCCTAACATTTCGTTCAGTTTTCTTCTCCTGCAAATGCATATCAAATGCATTTGCAAGTGAATATAATTTTGTATATTCTGTATATGAATATTCGTATGTAGCTGTGTATTAATGCTATATAGGCATTTATTATAAGCTTAGAAAAGAAATGTATTTTATTTCTTTATCTATATATTTAACAATTTATAATGTTATCCTATATATAGCTAAAAAATACAAAACTGACAGTGTGTGAATATTAATAAAAAAAATCTATTTCCTATAGGTTTTTAGATCACTAGAATAATGTAACAATTTATATCTAATCAAAAATGTGTACCTGGGAAAATAATTGTATGGAAATGGAAAAACCATCATTTGATTCATGAAAGAAATGAGATCTTTATATTTATGAATGACAATACGATTGTTATTTGTATTTTAACTACTTTAGTACTAAAGTACTTAAAATGCAATTCAAATTAAAATCCCCATTTCTTTCATGAATCAAATTATGTATTATGTATTTTCTACTAAATTATACAGCTATCAAATAAAGAATATAAAATTGGGCCGAGTTAATATTTATAAAACACACTTCGTATTTTGATTCATATGTTATCATACCGGCGTATGTTATCATACCTACAAATATCTACTTATATTTTTATTATAATTTTTAACATATTTTTAAATTAAGTCATATATTTTTATTCCTTATTTTGAACGAAACGAAGCGTTCGCAGCTTTCGTCTCTATTAAGTTAAACATTACAAGTTCGTCTTCTTTAAAAAAATATTACACCTACGATAATTACAAAAAAAATATTTTTTTATATCGTGAACGATCATAACAGTACTAAATATCTAATAAAATACAATACTGTATAGTGTTCCTCCACGTTTTCACCATATTTTGCACTCAAGAGTGCAAAATTTGGTGAAAACGTGGACATTCTTGAGCATTGGGGTATAATACCTCCGAGGTGACAAAACAGGGTATGGTCGTAATTATCAATCATTGTTAAAAATAAAAAAACACAGCAGCTAATGAAATAGCTCATAACAGAATTAGTTAACATGACAACTATACAATTCTTGCCTAAATATTAAGCTTCCCCTCAAAACTACTTTAAGGAAAACTTTTTCAAATTGACTCAGTTTGATTATTATTTTCTATGCATTTTACATTTATACCAATGATGCACCATGAGTCTCTCATATACTCGTATTCAATATTGAATCCAATCTAATCTTACTAAAATACATTTTTATGTGTAATTTTTATTTAAAATATAAATTATATTTGAATAACGTATTAAATCTGACAATATTAATATCTATTACCTTGGCAACTATACATAATGTAGATATTTGAGTATGATGATTACACGCACTTGTAATCTCAATAATGTTATATCAATTAGGATATCTATGCCGCCACATAGATTTTAATCAATCTATAAAATATACTTGAAATATTTAGTCTTTTAGTTTACGAAGGTTGACATTATGAATCAAGACATTATCACATGTACATAATAATGTAATAACAAAACAATAGTCTAAATTAACCGGAAAATTTAAGTTAAAAAAACTTTGCTTAACATTAATTTAATTTTTTATTTACGAAATATTAATATTACGGAAATATTTTTCATTTAAAATTTATATATTATTATATTAACTACATGTCTAGACCAATATATAATGGTTTTATATTTATTTATTTTTAATAACAGACAGTTTCTAAGACCTGAAACTCTTTTTTATTAAACTCTGTTCGATGGACATTGTTATAAGTACAATAGCTATATAAAGCAAGTTAAAAAAAAATTGGAGTGGTGTCGTATTAATAGCTAAAAAGACTGATAACATATCGTGGTAGCAGCGTGGTAGCAGGAGCTCCACTAACAAGAGCACAGCTCTTAAATTATGAATGAAAGAAATAAATCAATGCACGTTGCCCATTCGAAATACCATCCATCAGCCCGATATCGTTTATTTTATCAACGTATCATTACAGTGTAGGAAACCCTATACTATCTATAAACATTCGTGTTTCAACATAATTAATATATTGTTAATAGCCATTAAGTTATTACTAATTAATATTTCTCGTTAATATTTCTGCTGTTTTAAAATATAAATGAAGCATTACTACTTTTCAAATTATGCATCTTGATATCACTATAGTACATTTTAATTAACTTTAATTAAAATAATAAATTTTAATTTAAATTAACACTAATATACATTTTAACTACATCTATAGATACAAATATACACATATGCAAATTGTATCTGAAATAATTCTGTCAATTATAATACACTTTAAACTATATTTGTCAGCATCAGATTTAAATTATCAAGCTCCTACTTAAACTGAAACTTACAATACAGAAATACAGGACCTTTTGGCCTGAATTGGCCTCTTGAGCACGTCATATTTTTTATTTTATCCTAACTTCAGTCGAGAAGAACTAGTACTGTTATCCTTGTGGGTAGATAGGAAAGTTTAATTTTTATATAATAAATAAATAAATAAACTTTAATAGAGTGAGCGCGATTCGAGTACGCTGTCGGTATAATAATACAAAAGTCACTATTTTATTGCACCACATTATATTATACAAATATATAATGCTTCAGCAATAAATACACATTACAAAATATGTTGTTGAGACCTTCAAACACAGTCAGTTTGTAGATACAAGTGTAGGGATGTTTAGTACACGTCTAGTAATAGTAGTAACTAATTACAAAATAATAAGATTGTAATTATTATTATTTATAACTTTTGAATTATAATATATTTTAATTAAATATAACACAGATAAGTGTAACATTAATCTATCGAAAACTGTATCTAAGGTATATTCTATAATAATTAATATCATTATATTTTTTTGAAAATAGTTACTCCTACCAGTTATTATTTTAACATAATTATGGCTATGAAAATTATATTAATGAGTTTGTATTCTAATACACATACTGGTCGTAATCATAAAAGAAGTAAGTTACTTAAAACTTAAAGAAGCAACTTACTCATCTGACTTTATCGATTTGCACAGTTCACCTTTTTTTTTATACTACTATGATGGCAAACAAGCATACGGTCCATCTGATGGTAAATGGTTACCGTGGCCTATGGACGCCTGAAACCTTACCCTTATTGAAAAACTCCATGCTGTAGTCTCGTGAGAAGAGATGTAAATCACCTCGAATGACGATTAAGCATTTTGCTTTATACCGATTTCACCTCGGAAAAATTTATGTATGTATAAGAAATATATTAGTATGTATTTCTTATTAATATCTACACACATATATATATAATCTCTTGTATCTTTCGCTTTATTTATTTATTATAAGTCATATCAATTAACATTTTTATTCTTTATTACATTCATTTCACTGATATTTTACTTTTACAACTGATGATAACAAAACAATAAGTCGTAAATATTTACATAGATACGTAGAGTCTTTATTCGTCACATTGATGTAGAGCTTAATTTTATGATTATAATATAATGTTGTATCTTTTTAAAAAAAGTGGACACTGGTATATTTAGTATTTTACTTCTGTGTTTTTTAAAAAACTAATTAAGTTAAACGATTTATATGTACACTTTTAATAAATACAACTACAATTTTAATAATAGTAGGTATAGAATAATATGACTATGTAATGTTATGTTGTGTATGATATGACTGAATTGTTATTATTTAATAATAGTAACTCTGTTCAACAGGTGGATAAGTAGTCTTTTAAGTAATTAAAATGCAAATTAGATAATGGCTACTATGAATAATGAGGTAAGTTACATTTCTAAGTACATGTAATTTCATTACTGATTCATATCTGACCTTTAAAATCAGAATACAGCTTGCATAGCAAACCAGCTTCGAAATAATTAATATGAAAAATCTTTAAAGTAAAGTAGGCTGGGTGTTTTTGTCTACTAATATTATTAGTAATTTACAAAATTAAATTAGTTGGAACTATTTATATGGAAGCATTTCATAGTTTCAACTAGTATCATCATACATTATAACATTGTATGTAAAATAAATAGCAACCGCGATAAAACTGTAATTCATAACAACATTGTTGATATAGGTACAGGCTGAATTCTCATTAACTATTCAAAACTACAAAATAGTATTGTTAAGCGAATGCAGAACCAATCGCATAGAATAGCTGACTTATTACCTCCTTACACTGAATAAGTACTTACTTATATGGATGAAATCATATATAATGACACATCAGATTACGGAACCAATCAGTCAAGTTAGTTAGGTATTATATAGAGAAATTCAGATTTAATACAGAATAATACAGAACAATACAGAACTAAACTAAACAAGTTGTAACATTAAAATGTCGAACCATCAAGACTAATATTCACTGAATTCATTTAAGTATTTATCACAACACATTACATGCAACACAAACTATGTAGTAAACTAAATTATAATTTCAACAATCATCACAACTAATTAATACAAACGTACATGAATGAGTAATTCTGAATGTTTTTTTATGGACCTTCCAAATTTCTGTAAGGATGTGCTTTATAAACGGAAAAACCTTCAAATTGCGGAAGATTCTACAGCTCGGGTGCAAGATAAAAAATAAATTCGTGTTAAATATGAAAATAATTATGTCTTCCTACTTGTTCAGCAAGAGATATGAAGAGAATATAATATGTAATCTATTAATAAATTATAAAATATGTTAATATTGTATATATATTTTAAATAGGTGTCTTATATACTTGATTCACAATTATACATATGTTCTTAGCATATATATGATACACATAACAAACGTATTAGAATTGTTTACACCATTTTGCATGTATTATGCACTACGGGGCTACCGTGTGTGGCGATAAAAATGATATTTTACAAACCTCAGGAAACAACAGAAGACGATACGTTTTTAGGTAAAATTTTAAAGTGCAAGAAATTATAGATAATTTCTGTTGAATGAATACTAATTGTTTTCTAAAGAACTATATAAAATAATTATAATAATTGATTTATATTTATAATAGAGTAATGGTCAATGATAAAAATTGGAAATTCATTTATTTATATTTTTGTCGATAACTGAGTAACAAAGAAAAGGATATTAAATATAAAATAAATAATGTCTTTGTCTGTCTAATGTTAGGGTATACCTAAATATGAATTGCACATATTATAATATTTAATATGATTATTTTGAGGTAATCCAATTTTCTTTCTATTGAGTTAGAGGTAAAGCTAGTATATGGTGTCTAGGACTGACTACTAAGTAGAGCCTGTATTATATACCGTTACATGATAGATGTCATAATGTTATTGAAGTTTTATTATAATATGATATAGACAAAGATAGTACTTACCTTTAAATGGTAATCAATCCGCCACACTTTTCTAATTTTAGGGCATCACACTTACAATACCACGTGAAAAGTGACCCATAAGAAATAAGAAAAGTTTTTATATAGTAATCGTGTCAATTG